ATTTAAAGAGAATGTGACAGCATCTCCATTAGCTTTAATTTTAAATGGATAGGCTCCATTTCGGAGGCACAGAAGTATGCCCAACTTTACACAACTTGGTAGTGAGAACCAACTAGAGACTGCAGTCCAACTATCTGAAAGCAAAATTCAGTCCTTTCTTCTACTCCAAAATGTTATCAAGCAGCATATTGATGTGTGTGTGGCTATGAATACACAGCATAAACTTACTATTAAACTAAACTATTCAGCCTTTTCTTCCAGATCTATAATGCTGCAATAAGATAACATGATATACAATCATAGGTTTACCCTTCTTTAATTAAATATGATGGATAATGAGAAACACTTTCTCCATCACAACCACAATTAGTAAATAGAAGAGAAATAATTATGGGTCAATCACTCTCTATAGTGACCATAGGAAGAATACTGAAGAATAATGAGTGACCACACATTCCCCAATCATATAGGACTGAGTCAGCCAAACAAATTATTACTACTCATTTCATCAATTGATTTGTCTCATCATTGTAAGTTAATTAAAAATACAGTTCACAATGCCAGGTCCACTCAGAAAACATTTTTCCATGAATTGTATTTTATGATTGGAACATTAATATGTAGATCTTTGGGTATCTAGAATAAATTTCTGTTTTCAAAATTATGAATGGTCATGACAAATTCTTTTTTTTCCAAATTTCAGTCTTATTTTATTTGTTTTTTTTGACTGTTCAGCCATTTATTCACAAATTTCATCAAGTGTTCTCTTATTAACAATAATGGTTACATTTGAAATATGTTAAAAGAAAACTTCCATGGTTCTATCACATTAAAAAACAAACTACAAAAAGAACCCCTTGGTAAACATCAGGCATGTCTTTGTAATATTAAATCAACAAAGATATTTTAGAAAAGAGTATATCTGTGACTCAGATTTTGATGCATGCATGATATATGACAAATTCTAATAACATCCAGAAAGGAATTTATTTTGTCTTAACAGCTCTTCAAGCATATTTAGCATTTCACTTAAATGTTAGTAAGCCAATTTGATACTTCAGTCATGTTCAAGAATGAGATGAGCTTACTAAATTGATCTTAATTTCCAGAAATGCCAATAATGTAGGGTAGACTGAGGATAACCTGATTAACACCTTTTATTGGGGTAGGAGCTCACCAAGTATCTTAGCCTGGTCTTGAACCCATGATTGATTATTCCTGCCTCAGCCTTCTAACTGGCAGCATTATAATGGATGCACCACTATCCCAGCTTGTATTGTTTCGTTTTTACCATATTTCTTATTTTATTTGTGAATATATTTTGCTTTCAAGTATGTCTGTGTATCATTTGATATGCTAGATGCCTGTAGAGGCTACAAGAAGGTGTCAGATACTCTAGAAATGGAGTTACATACAGAGATCTGTGCGCTGTCATCGGTATACTGGGAATAAAACCAGGGACTTACGAGAAATCATCAAGTACTTTTAACCACTAAACCATCTCTGTAGCCTGATCCAAGTTTATATTTTTTAAATAATGTTTTTATGTGAAGTAGAATTCTGATTTTCTTTGTTTAAGTTGTTTGTAGGTTCCTGTTAACTGTTTGCTCTTCTAAATCTTTATTTATCTAAACAGAACTGATTTCAATACAATAATTAGAAATTTCCAGAGTACTTGCAAGTATAAAGTTTACTGATTTATCATGCAGTCCTGATATGTACTATAAAAAAATTGTTTTTTTAATTTTTTGAGATCTGTATGTTCCTTGGTCAAATGCTATTTTTTCCATATCAATGATTGTAAGTTTAATGCCTGAAATATAAGCACTTACATGAAAATATGACTAAATATTTAACTACCTTTTCACAATTTCTGCAACATTTCTCAAAACTGCTAAACCTTATCATAATATATATATATATATTACAAATGTGCACACATATATATGTATATATACATATATACATAAACATATGCATGCCAGTTAATTTACATTTTGTATCAGGAACTCTTCAGAAGTTAATATGCCATGGAAGATGAACACAAAGAAAAAAATTCTCTCTGCACTTTCCATTTGTCTTAGTGAAAACTTTAAAGTTGAGGTGGGTCATGAATTTTCTTCATATCATATATTTAAGAAGTTGCTAAGAATAAGTGGAATGTATAGGATATAATGGATCTCATTCTTCTCAAAAATGTGAAGGAACACACACACACATTTTTTTTCTTTATTAAGAAATTTAAAAAGCCGGGCGGTGGTGGCGCACGCCTTTAATCCCAGCACTTGGGAGGCAGAGGCAGGTAGATCTTTGTGAGTTCGAGGCCAGTCTGGTCTACAGAGCGAGATCCAGGAAAAGGCGCAAAGCTACACAGAGAAACCCTGTCTCAAAAAAACCAAAAAAAAAAAAAAAAAGAAATTTAAAAAAAAAAGAAATTTTTTATTCATTTTACATACCAAACAGATCCCCCTCTCATCCTTCCTCCCACTCCCCCTGCCTTCCCCCTCCCAACCCACCCCTATTCCCTCCTCTGAAAAGGTAAAGGTAAGGCCTCCCTTGGGGAGTCAGCAAAGCCTGGTACATTCAGCTGAGGCAGGTCCAAGCCCCTCACTCCTGCATCAAGGTTGTGAAAGGTGTCCCACCATAGGTAGTGGACTCCAAAAAGCCAGCTCATGCACCAGCAATAGATCCTGATCCCACTGCCAGGAGCCCCTCCAACAGACCGAGATACACACTATCTGTGTCTAAACGTTGGCCATCAGAACGTATGAGCCTGTGCCCTTGCAAGTTGTTACCTTGAATGAAAGTAGATAACAGACAGTAACGTCAATAGCAAAATGTACAAAACATATATCCTGGCAGTTTTATAAAAGTGCGGTGTTTGTAATTTTCTAAAGAAAGGTTATTGTCTAAGGCATAAGAGTTTAAATAGTTTCTGACCTCCAGAAAGTATTATATCCAATTTCTCCATTTTTGTAGCTGTAATGATTTGAAGTCCAAAAAGTGCCCTGATTGAGATGAGAATAAAGCAGAGTTGATAGATTTGTTGTGTTCAGTGTAGATACTTTATGATTCTGAAACTGAGCAGCTTTCTAAATTCATTTATTAGTTTTTAATTCTATTTAGATAAATTTCAGAACAGTAAACTCGTTTTTATGAATAACAATCTTTATAAAGTATTTATTTAGTCATATTTTATGTGGTTCTACTTAGTGCACATACATATATAGAAGTCCATAAACACAAGAGGTTTAAGAAAACTACTCATTGTGTATTAGGAAGAAAGAAGTACATTATTATATTCTAGTATAAGGTAGAAAGGCCTCTAAGGCTTTTAAAATAGTTGTCTCCCATATTTGCAAAAATTATTTACAAATATTTAAATAATTGCCAGTATAAGAAACAAAAGAGGAGCCAGGTGATGGTGGCACAAATCTTTAATCTCAGCACTTGGAGGCAGAGGCAGGCAGATCTCTGCAAGCATGAGGCCAGCCTGGTCTACAGAGTGAGTACCAGGACAGCCACAACTGTTACACAGAGAAACCTTCTCTCAAAAAACAAAGAGAGAAAGAGAGAGAAGGATGGATGGAAGGACAGAGGAGAGAGAGAGAGAGAGAGAGAGAGAGAGAGAGAGAGAGAGAGAGAGAGAGAGAGAGAGAGAAGAGAAATGTGGGAGAACACACTGTGTACTGTCTCTATGTTAAGCAGACAGATTAACTTTAAACAGCCTCATGGGTAGTGATGTTTTCAGTCAGGACTGTGCCTTAGAGAATTTGCACAGCATTTCTCTTGCTCAGAGACTGCTACTTCCAAGTCTTCTACACTTTGCCAACATTAGTTTTACCTTAGCTTTGGCTGTCATGAGTATTCTTCACTTAGATTCATCCATTTAGTTTGATGCTCAAATCTAAACTTTGCTACATTCCTTCAGGGAAATCTAAGTCTTTCTCCAAATCTTTACTTGAAATTGTATTTTAGAAGATTAGGCATGAAACATAGTAAGGTGCACAACAGTTCAAAAGACTTAATACCTGATAATCATAGTAAAATCCATGGAAGGTTTCAAAGCAACTAGTTATTCATGATTAGGTGGAGAATATGCAAATCAAGAAAAGTTTTAATTTTATTGATTTTCTACAGTCAGAAGTAGAGAAATATGCGCAAAGAGAAATGAATACATAGAGAGAGATGAAGGAATAAACATTAATAAATGGAGGCCTAAAGCAAGATTATGTTAGAATACTTGTACACTGTGTGAAGATATTTTGCTGTGATTGTACACTGTGTGAAGATATATTCCTGTGATTGGTGTAATAAAAAGCTGAATGGTCATTAGCTAGGCAGGAAGAGGTTAGGCGGGACTTTTCGGGACAGAGAGGACTCTGGGAAGAGGAAAGGTGGAGTTGCCAGCTAGTTGCTAAGGAAACAGGATGGGGAGTATGGTGAAAGGCAATTTCCCATGGCAGAGCATAGATTAATATACATGAGTTAATTTAAGTTATACGAGCTAGTTGAGATCAAATCTAAGCTAAGGCTGAGCTTTCATAATTAATGTAATGGACTCCAAATAGGATTGGATTATGGATAATACAAAGTTGAACTTAACCATGGTTTATCTCAAATTCAGAACAAAATGTATGAGAGGCAAGAGAGAGGGTACAAAAATGTGATGTCACTGACAGAAGGTTGACACAGAATTGGAGGCAGGATATGATAATGTGATTTGTCATTCTAGGTTTGTGTCAAGGAATCAATGCTGAGCAAAAAATATTGTGATGTTTATCAAATTGAGATTATGAAGGTGTTAATTTGATTATTATAACAACATTCAGGGGATAAACATGAAAGTACAAGACTGATGTAGAAAAGGATATGAGAAACCTAGAGTTATGGGTACAAGGAGAATGATACACATAGACAATGAAATTACTAAGAGAGGAATGATGACAGAGAATATGCTAATACAAAGTAACTTTTGTTCAAAGATGGAGAGGACTCACCTCGATGTAGATGTAGAGGGACTGCAGTCATTCAATCGCCTGTCATTTAAAGATGAATCCACTAAGACAGACAAGAATGAAATGGTCTGGAAGATAATGCAGAAGAATGAGGACATCAGAAATGGTTCTAGTAATGATGAGGAGGAGAAAAGATGAGGCACTTTTCTATCTTTGTGGAAAAAAGAAAGCATTCCAGTACAGATTGGCTACCTATGCACCAATGACTTCAATCTCAATAATTCTCTACAAGTTTTCTCCCTATGTATAATGAAAGAATGGGCAGCATTCTGTACCAGTGAGGACTTTTTAAAATTATGACTTACAGACAAAAACATAAAATTTTTACATTTATTATGTGATACCAACTGGTGGGGTTTAGTACGTAGGTATGCTCTAACTCACCTCCTTTTAACAAATTGTATTAATTCAGAAACACCTCGTTTTTTATCTGAAGCTGATCATATGGAGAATTGCACTAACAGATTCTCCTTAGAAATCGCTTTCCCAAAATGTTGTGCCAAGAATATAATATAACTTAATTGGGAGCTTAGCTATTGTCAGCAAGTTTGTATATTGGAAACTAGATGTTTTAAATCACAATGTTTCTCATTTAGGCATTGAACAGTCTTAGAGATAAGAAAGATTGCATTGCTCACATATTTCTCTAAAGCTGTCTTTGAGACAGGATTGTGACCCCCTTGGGGGACAAGCAGACTGCAAGTCTGCTAATTGCTAGGAAAGAGAACATTATATGTGAGATAGCAATTTTCACAGAATGTATAGGTAAGATAAAGAATAACTGAGATCTTGAGAGGGTTTCTTAAGCAATGTAAGCTTTATGTGTTTTCAGAATCTCATTTTAAGTCATCTGTGCTATTTTCAGAACAAGGTGCACTAACCACTTCTTCCTTACAAACCATGGAAAAATATGCTATAGCCTAGTTTTGAGTATTAACATATCACAAGAAACAGCATCATATGAAAAATTTAGTTGATTGTGGGAGGCCAACTCCCACCTTTTAAAAGGGTTGCTATGAGGAGGAGAGAGGGATAAGAAACTTTTAGATAGAAAGATAGTGAAGAGAAGAAAGACAAAAAAAAACTGGATAGCTTCAGAAGGACCTGGATCAAAACCAGTGGTCCCTTCTGCCACTTCAAAGGGGTATAGCTAGAGTTTTCCTGCCTGGCCCACAGTCAGGACAAATCTCTATCACCTGCCAGTCCCACAGCCATCAGACCCAACCAAGTAAACACAGAGACTTATATTGGTTACAAACTGTATGGCCATGGCAGGCTTCTTGCTAACTGTTCTTACAGCCTAAATTAATCCATTTCTATTAATCTATACCTTGCCACGTGGCTCGTGGCTTACCGGCATCTTCACATGCTGTTTGTCATCATAGTGGCTGACAGTGTCTGTCTGACTCAGCCTTCCACTTCCCAGCTTTATTCTTCTCCTTGTCCCACCTACACTTCCTGCCTAGCCAATGGCCAATCAGTGTTTTTTTTATTGACTAATCAGCAACACATTTGCCATACAGAACATTCCACAGCAAAGGGGCTTTTTTTTTTTATTAAGAAATTTTCTACTCACTCCTCATGCTATCCACAGACCCCCCCTTCTCCATCCTCCCACCCACAGCCCTCTTTCCCAAGCCACTCCACATCCCCACATCCCCCAAATCGAGGTCTCCCATGGGGAGTCCTCAAAGTCCAGCACACTGAGCCTAGGCAGGTCCAAGCAAAGGGGCTTTTTATAACAATACCAAGGGGCACAGCAAAAGATCTCCCCCTTGCTAGATCAAAGCACACCACACAGTCAAGTATAGACCCTTCCAAACACCTGGTCACCATGCCCATGGTCAAATCATCCCCTTATGCAGCCCTGCTGGATAAAACAAGCTCAGAATCTCAGACCCTGAGTAAGTTCTTACTAGGAAACATCTGTGGATCTCTACAGTTCATATGAGATTAAGGTTTAACTTAGTGGTAGAGCATATGCTTTACATGGCCAACACTCTGGATGTCCTTACCACAAGACAAAATTAAGTCAATAAAAGTCCTCAGTTTTACTAAGTATGAAAATTTCTATTCACCTGCCAGATAGTAAGCTATTAATTCTTTTATTCCCTTAGAGATCATTGTATCATTAAAAAAGATGTATTTCATAATAAATAAGGATAAATAAATTCTTGAAACTATAACCTCAAAATTCTAAAACTATTTAAAAATCTCTTCAAACACTTGCATGTTCATTCTGATTAATATATTCTCAAGTATTAGCCCTTGGGTGCCAAAATTATATCAACCTTGATAGCAGATTACAAATATAAGCACCTTCTCATCAAAAGTGATAATATAGTGTTATGCAGGTCCATTTTCCCTTTTATGTATAGAAAAAGCTAAAAGAAATAAAATGCATAGGTTTTCTAGTGGGCCAAACTCAGGGACATTCAATTACTTGGTGGCAGCTGATCATTAGATTAGATACATCCCAGCACGTCACAGGGGGTGAAGAGGTTCCTCTAGAGAGAAAGGTACTTTAAAGCAATTTCACTTCTAATTATGTTTCTTGTAAGGTTTTGTTGTGTCTTGTTTGAAATAGAATGTAATCTACTAGAGAGAGAAAGAAGTCAAAAGATTACTGTCATCTTATCTTGAAATGGGCTTGGCCTCAGTGTGAACTGATTAAAATTATTTAGAGAAATTTTTTGCTCTGTGTCATTGAAGGGAGGATGCTGATGGACAGATATTATGAGATGAATTAATTTGATATATTATGGCAAGATAACAACCCCAGTAGCTAATGCCTGTAAGAAGTATTTATTTCGTGCACTGTACAATACATTAGGATGGTGACACAATATTGAGTTATTATAACCTTCATAAATTCTTTGTGACTAAATGTAAATACCTTCAACATATATATGATAAGTTCAATTATGCTATAATTCACAGTGTTTCTATTATTGCTTTATACTAACCATTAGACACTGGTAAATGTATATATCATTCACATATAATGAAACTTTAACATGGAAAGGGACTTATGACTCTAAAACACTTTTAGAAAGTAATAAAGTAAATGTATTTAATACTTGTTTTCTTGTGTTATTTTCACAAGAAGTCACTGGAAAACTTAGTTTTAGCTTGATACTATCCTCTGTCTTTAAACAACAAGTTTTAAAATTCAATAGTAGGAAACTGCAAAAATTGGGGGTGGAGGGATTGCTCAGAGGTTAAGAGCCCTGGCCATTCTTCCAGGGGTCCTGAGTTCAATCCCCAGCAACCACATAGTGGCTCACAACCATCTATAAAGAGATGTGATGCCCTCCCTCTTTTGGCATGCAGGCAGGCAGACCACTTATACATAATAAATAAATAAATATTTAAAAAAGAAAATGCACAAATCTAGTCATGTTAAATATTCAACAAAACATTGACTAACAAATTAACTTATTGATCTGGGACTGGTTCTTGGTTGGTAGAATGTATGCCTAGCATACATGAAGTCCAAATTTAACTCCCAGCACCACATAAACTAGGTGTGTTGGTTCTTGCCTGTAATCCTAGCATGTGGGAAGTAAAGGCAGGAACTAAAAGTTCAACATTGACAAGACAGTGATTTTGAGACCATTCTATGAAACTTGGGGAGGGGGAGCGATGAACTTACTTAGGTCTTCACATCAAATATAAATATATATATATATATGAATCTGATTTTAAACATTAAAGATACATCTAAAATGTGAGTGGCTTCCAAATAATGTGCTTATTTCTTGTTCTCAGGGCAATGGAATTGCTATAGTTCTATTAAAATCTTACTTCAATTGGTGTAAGTGACATACCAGATTTCATTACAGTCAAGATCTTTTCAGCTCATCTTGAGTATTCTTCAACCAGATAGTTCCCAAGATATTTTCCTTTAAAGGGCAATTATCCTAAGTGCAGATGATCAAAACAAACCCTACAAACATATAATGTAAGTCTTCTGCCCTCATAAGACTTACTACCATTATTTTGACCACTAAGTTGTAACTATAACTGCTAGTCTTCAGTCCCATCAAAGACCTGAGAAGGAATATAATGGTACCTGAGAAATGGTAGATGAATGCAAGCAACTTTTGGGAATCTTGCAACAGTAGACCGAGACAGCTGGCAGCCTGGACAGTCACCTAATGTTTCTCAGAATTGTTGGTGCATTCAAATTGGCTACAGGCTTAGAGTATCTGACAGATCATTTTCAGAAGCAGGAATTCTGAAAGACCATCTTACCCTGTCTTGGCAGAGTACAGTGCTCACTTTCCTTGTGTCCCGCTTGTCCAGAAAGGACAGCATTCGTACTGTCAGCAGTCGAGGTAAGGGCAGTTCTTTGTCCAGTAGGCCATTTTGTGCCAAGAAGACAAACTTTCAAATGGAAATGTCTTAGAAGCCCAACATTCTCTCGGGATCAAATTGGTGCTGCCAGGAGCAATTGTGTCTCATGTCAACAGAATTCTAAGTTATTTAAATGCCATATTCTCTAGGTCTATGAATGTTTGAAGATTACCTGTCCATCTGACCTATGTATCTGTAAATCTGGATAACCTAACTAACGTAACTATAGAGATGACAAGCATAGGTGACTATAAATCTGTAAGTCTTATCTACCGAAATAACCTAAGGACTAAGCCTGCATATAAATAAGGTAAAGAGTGTATAAGCAAATGTATGGTAAAGAACGATGACTTCAAAATTGTGACAATGCACAAGATATTTATAACAGAGGTAGGAATATATAGTGCAATATACAATATGACAATAATCTTAAATATATATCAATATACAGAATATCCTAAACAGAAGTAGAACATACATAAAGTATGGCAGATATAAATTTACATTTGTATCAATATACAAATATTTCAAATAAGAGTAGAAATATATGTACATTATAACAAATATAGTTCTGTATTTGTATCAATACACAAATTATCTTAAACAGGAATATAAAAATAGTTTACATTTGTATCAACATATAAGAATCCATAACAGTGTAAATTATAGTGCAAATTATCTAAGGCTGCTATTTTACTAAATTTGTTTACTAGTATATATAATAATCTACCATAATATCTTATACCTAAAACTGCCAGACATTCTACAGGACACTGAGAAAAATGACTGAGAGATTCTAGCCCTGTGGGCTGAAGACAGATGCCCCAACTTTACAAGAGAACTTTGGGTGACTGTCCAGGCTGCCAGCTGTCTCTGTCTACCCTGCAAGACTCCTGAAAGTTGCATCCTTCTCCCATTTCTCAGGTAGTATTATATCCTTCTGAGGTCTTTGATGTAGTTGAAGACTAGAGATAATTATAATTTTCCTTAGTTATGATAAAAGATAAGTTAGATATAAAAACTTAGACTCACAGATATAAGATAGCTAAGATATCTTCTTTAATTTCGCCAAACAGACTAGTTATTATAAATAGACTAGATATCATAACTGTAATTCTTGCTTGATAATTGTTTTGTTATCTGTAATTTTACTATGTAAAAGTTAAAACCTTCCTTTTTGAAAAAAAGAAAAGGGGAAGTACTGTGGGATGTTCTGTATGTCAAATGTGTTTCTCTGATTGGTTATTAATAAAACACTGATTGGCCAGTAGCCAGGCAGGAAGTATAGGTGGGACAAGCAGAGAATAGAATTCTGGGAATTAGAAGGCTGAGTAAGAGAGACACTGCCAGCCGCCGCCTGACAAGCAACATGTGAAGATGCCGGTAAGCCACAAGCCATGTGGCAAGGTATAGATTTATAGAAATGGGTTAATTTAAGATATAAGAACAGTTAGCAAGAAGTCTGCCACAGCCAAACAGTTTGTAAGCAATATAAAAGTCTCTGTGTGTTTACTTGGTTGGGTCTGAGCGGCTGTGGGACTGGTGGGTAAGAGAAATTTTTCCTGACTGTGGGCCAGGCAGGAAAACTCTAGCTACAAAAGATCATGAACTATTTTATTCTTTTTTCAGCTATGTTCATAGGGAAATTAGCCTATGAGTCTCTATTTTGTTGAGCCTTTTCTGGTTTTAGTATTAGCATAATATTAACTTCATAAAAAGAATTTGTAAATGAGTCTCACTATTGGCTCTGCAGCAGAACACCTGCTGCAGCCTTTCCTGCCCAACTGCCCTCATCTACTCTGGACCCAACAGATCTTTCCCTCTAGAGCCTCTACCCCAGCTAGTTGCTTTATCCCACCTCTCAACTCCAGCAGGCACCCCTTACTAACCCAAAGGCCACTCCTGCCATGGAACAGATAGATTGACAGCAGATTTTCAACTCTATTTCTGCTCTTCCAGACCCAATCCCTCCTGCCCCCGCCAGTCTCATGCCCAATTTTGTAGCAGAACATCTACTGTGGTCTCTGACCTTTCTTTCTGACCCTATCCCCAATGGATCACAAAGATCTTCTCCTTTTCCCTCACCTAACTCATCCCAGTATCCCAGCCTCCAACACCAGCAGACATTCCCTGAGAATGCACCAGTTAAACAGGCCAGTGAAACAGATAAACTAACTAGAAATTTTCACCATACCCTTCTTTCCTCCAAACCTAATCCTCCAGTAACCCCCATCTCTGTGAAAGAAAATCTGTTGCAGTCTTCTTCTCCCTTCCACCTACATATTCTGTGGATCCAATAGACCTTCCCCTCCTAACTTCTAAGTTCACACTTGTTGCTTTATCCCAGCCCTCAACTCCAGCAGGAACTCCATGATAACCCATAGACCACTCTGCTAGGGAAGCAAGTAGGTGGTTTCTAGACCTTCTTCTCCCCTTCTGCTCCTCTAGATCCACCCTAGCCCAGGCTCCCTCTGAGTGCTATACCAGACTCTCTTTGGTGACCTCTTTCCACTTTCTCCACTCATTCCAGTGAGATGAAACAAGCAGATCCTGATGGAACACTGTTCTCCTTCTTCCTGTAAACCCCTTCAGAGCTGTAGCCTATCCCCATTTCTTAATGTCAGCTCTCAATATCCAGAAATATTTTACCTGGAACCCCCAGTGGACATCATTATCAGGTCCAACGAAAATTTCCTCCCCGGCAATGCACAGCCATAACACCTTCTGAAAAGTCGAGAGAAGAAACAAAAAACAAGGAACAAAACACCAACCCAACAGAGACAAATCCAGAAATCAGCACCTGGACTTATAATCATCCCAATGTTTGATTCCTAGATACCAGTATAAGAATGCAATCAATAAGAGTCAGGGAAATATGTCTCTAATATAGTCAAGCTATCCGACAAAAGCAGTCCCTGGATATTTTGACATAAATGGAGAAAAGACCTTAAAACTGCCGTATGAAGATAATAGAGGTCCCTAAAGAGAAAAATGAAGAAACCCCTTAAGGAAACCCAAGAAAAAATAAGGAAATTAATGAATCCTTTAATGAAATCAATGGAAACACAAACAAATGGTGGAAGGAAATTAACAAAACTATTCAAAACCTGAAAATGGAAATAGAATCAAAAGAGAAAATGCAAACTGAGAAAATTCTGGAAATGAAAAAATTAGGAATTTGAACAGGAATAACAGAGGCAAACTTCACCAACAGAATACATGAGATGGAAGAGGGAATATCAGGGTTGAAGATACAATGTAAGAAATGGATACATTTATCAAAAAAGTGTTAAATCTAAGGAAAATTCCTAAAATAAAACATTCATGAAACCTGGGAAACTATAAAAAAAACTAAGAATAACAGGAATAAAGAAAGGAGAAGAATCCCAGCTTATAGTCCCAGAAAATATTTTTCAACAAAATCATAGAAGAATATTTTCCTAACCTAATGAAGGAGATGCCTATAAATGTATAAGAAGTATACAAAAAGCTGAATAGATTGAACCAGAAAAGAAAGTCTGACTACCACGTAGTAATCAAAACACTAAACAGAGGAAAGAAAGAATATGAAAAACTGCAGAGGAAAAAGAGCAAGTAACACATAAAGACAGACCTATTAGAATTGTACCTGACTTCTAATTAGAGACTCTAAAAGCCAGAAGTGACTAGAAAGATGAGCTACAAACTCTAAATGATCACTGATGCCAGCACAGTCTCCTACTATACCCAGCAGAACTTTCAATCATCACAGATGAAAAAAATAAGATATTCCATGATAAAGCCCAATTTAAACAATATCTAACAACAAATCTAGCCCTACAGAAGGTGATAAGGAAACCTCCAACCTAAGGAGGATAACTATAACCATGAAGATATGGGTAATAAATAATAAAATTACACCAAAATGAATAAAAGCACACACACACACACACACACACACACACACACACACACACACACACACACCACTACTACCACTAACAGCAACAACAACAAAATAACATGAATCAACAGTTATTGGTCACTCTTATCTCTCAATTTCAATTGTATCAATTATCCAATAAAAAGACAAAGACTAAAAGAATGGATGTATAAATCAAGATTCATCCTTCTGCTGCATCCAAAAATCACACCTCAACATAAAAGCTAGATATTACTTCAGGATAAAAGGTTGGAAAAAGATATTCCAAGCAAATGGTCAAAAGAAGCAAATCTGTGTAACCAGTACAATGTCGAACATAATGTACTTCAAATCAAAACTAACGAAAAGACATAGGGAAGGACACTACCCATGCTTCAAAGGAAAAAATCCCAAAAAATGATACTCCAATTCTTAACATCTATGGCCCAAACATATAGGTAATCCAAGTTTGTAAAAGAAACACTACTACAACTAAAATCAAATATTGACCCTCATACAATAATAGTAGAAAACTTCAATACCCCACTCTAATTAACAGACAGGTCATCCAGACAAATACAAAATTGTAGAGATCCACCAAGTTTTCCTAATGAGAACCTACTCAGGGTCTGAGAATCTGCTTGCTTTACCCAGCAGGGCTGCATAAGGGGATGATTTGATCATGGGTGTGGTTACCAGGTATTTTGCACACTTGGCTGTGCAGTGTGCTTTGATCTAGCAAGGGAGAGGTCTTTCACCCCACTCCTTGTCATTGTTATAAAAAGCCCTTTTGAAGATGGAGAAGGGACCATTAGGTTTTGATCCAGGTCCTCCTAAAGATAGCCTGTACTTCTGTCTTCCTCCTCTTCACATCTTTCTATTTAAGTGTTTCTTATCCCTGTCTCCTCCTCATAGGAACACTTTTAATGGTGGGAGCTGGCCTTCCACACAAAATGGAGAAATATTTGATCGAACAGTCATTATAAACTCGTAACAATGGGAATGGGGGCTATCTGTGTGGTGATATTTTAATTGTACTGAAACGTAATTTTATTTGCATGGTAATAAATAAAGTTTGCCTGGAGATCAGAGGTCATTGCAAACCAGGAACAGAAGTCAGGTGGTGGTAGCACATGCCCTTAATCCGATCACATGGCAGGCAAAGTCTCTGTGTGGTCAAGGACACAGCCAAGCGTGATGACACGAGCCTTTAATCCCAGTACCAACAATAGAGACCTGGAGGTCTGTATAGACAGGCAGTGACAAGGAAGTCATGTGGCTGGGCTTAGAGCCAATGAGAAGGCAGAACAGGAAAGCAATAAAAACACAAGTCACACAGAAAGAAGCTCTCTCTGGGGAAGCAATGGTGGCGAGGTGGTAAGATAAGGTAGTTGTGGCTCTCTGATCTCTTTGGCTATTACCTTTGTATTTGGCTCTGTGTTTCTTATTTACTAAGACTGTTTAGAAATTCGTCTACATGTCTCTGTCTCTTTTGGCTGCTCTTGGGACCCTTTTCCTCCTACTGGGTTACCTAGTCTAGCCTTGATATGAAGATATGTTCCTAATCTTACTGTAATTTGTTTTGCCACGTCCACATCCTTACATCAGAAAGAGTCTGCAAGTTTAACTGTTGCCAAAATGGAAACAAATCACAGTGACTGGTTCTTTCTTGCCTTCCTGGAATCTTCCCATTGACAGTGTTGTCTTAGCTGATACAGTTTTTCTGTTTTTACTAGAGTTTTTCCAGAAGAAGACCTAGCATAGTTACAGACCCAAATATTAATTTGCCTTTTCATTTCACTACTATAATGCTACCAGTCCACCACCATTATGCTAACATTACATATTCATATTTGTGAATAATTAGTTTCATCTTTGAAAGAGATGAAACCTGGCACACTTTGATTATGAGAGGTAGAATTCAGATATTAATCATCTATACCATCTTTCAACTTCCCACTGTACAGAACTGGTGGTAGCACAATATAAACTATGGTGACATATAACCTTGGCTGTACACTACAAAAGTTATAACAACACTGTTTCTCTTCCAATGTTCTGACTCTGAATATACTGGGAAATATTCTGTAGCACGTACTGAAATGCAACTTAGTAATATCAACTAATGTTCTTTTTTTTTCCATTATGAAGATATTTATTCTTTAAAAGTACGTTTTACAGAACAGAATTTAAAGTAGCTTTTTTGGGTAGATATATCTCTTAGAGGTAGAAAACGTTAAACATGAACTCAGTCTGGGGAGATATCTCAGTCTACGAAGTGTTGCTCTTCAAGCTTGAGGACCTGATTTCAGGCCCCAGTGGCCATGTAAAAAGCCAGGCATTGTGCCTCATCCTTGTAGTCTCACCACTGGTGAGCTTAGGCTAATCATTGAAATATTTTCCTCAAAATAAGAAAGGGAGGAAAAAAGAAAGGAAGAAGGAAGGATGAAAGAAAGGAAGGAAGTGGGGTGAGACGGTTTCAGATTTCGTTTGGAAATGATTTTTCCATGCCTAGTTGCCAAAGTGTGTGATTTCCTTATCAATAGAATATTGAAATGCAGGAAAATGGCAATAGCCCATGTTGTTTAATGTTCTTAAAGTCAACTTACTTGCAATTTTCAGTTTAATTTCTCAATTCTATTATTCTTTTCTGGATGAATTATATTATCTTGGGCACTTAATTAATATAACATTGAGAGAAAATTATTTATCTTTATTATTTCTGCTACTTTTTGGTACAACATGGCTAACCTAAGATTTTTTAGTTTTCTCTGTCATTGAAATAATGTGGATGTGACTGTCAAATCTCACAATATCTGGAAATTACCTATTCTTAAAGGTTATTGAAGTTGTGAACACTTGCAAATCCTTTCTAATGTTTAATTTATACCCCTTTACCATACTTTTCAATTTAGTTTAAATTAATTTTTTCTTAAAGTATTATTGAATATGCTAATTTTCAATAAATGAATTTTTAAAAGTATAGAATTTAGGAAGTAATAAAACATCAAGAAAACACATGTTTAAAAAACAGGTCTTGTTATTCCAGTAACATTTAAAAGAAAATTAATATGAAAATATGGTAAACATATGATAAAAGATTTCTTCTACCATGCTAATGGAAACAGGAAGCTTATCAACCGTTTGGAAATCTAATTGACTAAAATACCCAGTGTATTAGCTTGCTGCATGTTGCCATGGTAAGTACTATGACAAAAGGTCACCTTGGAGAGGAAAGGACTTGTTTGACTTCACTTCTATTGGGAGTTCAATGACCCTTGCACTCATAGAGAAGCACCAGGAAAACTGGGAATGTTGAAAACTCAGGGTTGTTGCTTCAAAAGGGAGAAATGTAAGGTGTTTTCTGCCCAGAAGGCTGGGAACTGAGGCGGTTAATAGGATAGATTTCCTCTGTGAAAATCAGTAGAGCCAGGCCCTTAAGATAACACATGTATCCTATGTGCAGAACACAACTTCATGGAATAAGTTATATGTACTTTGAAAAGAATTTTGATGTAATTATGTCTTACTGTGCATACAAGATTATATTACATATACCAGGAAACTTTTTTCCAAATTTACTGTACTTAAATATGCCTAAAATAAAGTGCCTGGTGTTAAGATCTAGAAGCTTGAATGAACACCGTCTACTGAATTGTGTTGAACTAGATTTCCTTCTTCCTTCATACAGTTTTTACTCTTCCAGCCCTAGTATTTGCAGAGACCCCATAAACACTTCTATGTCACAATATATCATAGAGGGAAATCAGGGCAAGAACTCAAATAAGAACCTGAAGGCAAGAACTAAACCTGAAGCCATGGAGACACGGTGTTTACTGACTTACTTTTCATGGTTGCTCAGCCTGCTTTTTTATACAACCCAGGATCCAGGTGCCAAAGGATCACACCACCTACCATGAATTAGGACCTTCCACATCAATCACTAATAAATAAAATGCCCAACAGACTTACCTATAGGCCAATCTGGTGGAAATATTTTCTCTGTTGATGTTCCCTCTTTCAGGATGACACTAGTTTGTGTTAAGCTGACAAAAACTAAGTAGCATAATGAACCCATTGTCAGCTTGTCACAAAAACACACTGTCATTAAATCAATAACTTTTCCTGTCTGATTTATCCTCCAGAGTTCATGTTACTATCTCAATATGAAATGTAGTATAACTTTAAAAGTCTCACTCTTTAATAATTTCAGCACTTTAAAATTTCACTTTCTCTGTTTTAAAAAAGTGTCCCTTTGAAAGTACAAAGTGTTTCAACTGTAGGCTCCTGTATTTTCTTACTCCGAGAGAGAAAAACCAGAACATGGTCACAGTCAAAGCAAAA